CAGCCCTCCGTAGAATGAGTTTGACACGTGCTATATAACCATGCACTGCGTCAATGGAAGAGTTAAGCTGTTACTGCGAGAACAGTAAATCCCTTTTTACAAATAAATATTCCATTAAAGAGCATCTCCGTTTACATTGTTTATGTTGAGTGCAGATATCATGATGATGTGTATGAGCACAATCAGCCATTATGTCTGAGGGGGAGAGAGGGAACGTCGGGCTGGGAGGCTGGACAGCCAGGCAGGGGAGTAGGAGCTTGATCACTTAACCCTAATACCCAAATACTGTTATTCCTAGCCTAGCCATCTGCGCCAAGGCAGATGCTGGGAATGTTGGGTTAGGATCAGAAGTTCAAAACCGACACCAAAAGGAAAAGGTGGCCCTGCCTAAAAGAGGCACCAAAGGGTTAGGCAAAATCATTATCTCCCTTATAGGGTCATAACAGCTGAATTAGAGCTTGGCCTTCGGTTTTCCCCCTTTTTCTCTCTCTGATCACCCCCCTCTTTTTATCTTCCTCTCCATCACACAGTAAGCCTTTTGTGCATCTATCACAGGAGGCTGCTAAGGGGAGGACGGCTCATAATAAGGTCTGGAATAGAGTGAATGGACTGGTATCAACCACGTTGAAACCATGTGTTTGATACCATTCCAATCATTCCGTTCTAGCCATTGGAATGAGTCCGTCCTCTCCAATTAAGGTGCTACCAGACTCCTGTGGTATCAATAGGGAGGGATGCCCCAAAAGAGCTTCTTAATTCAAAGCTAGTTTTAGTAGCTCAGCCAGACGGCTCTAAAGGGCTCCACACAAATCCAATTGTTAACATAATGGGATTGGGAAACAAAACGAAGCACATGGAGGGAGGAAAGGAAGGGTAGAGCAAAATATAGATACGAGAGGAGGGAGGGAGGAGGTGGTCAAACAAAAGACATCTGCAACTGAAAAGGAAAAAGCCAAATGAATGGATATAGTGAGTCAACGTCACGCAGGCTATACTCATGCACTGAACATTGACACTTTCACAAGTACAGGCGTAGTTTCATCCGCCCCTTGTAGCGACATCTACTCTCACTCAACAGTGGACAAGCAAACAAATAGCCATGGAAGTAAATAGAATGATAAAACCTTTCCTTCCCTCAGCTAAAAAAGCACTCAGGACTGAGGCTCTTTTTCCCCCCAATTGTGCCTGAGGTTTAGTTTAGAGTTTTTCTTTTTGCATTTATTCTGCCTCATAAAATATTCAGTAGAAGGAAAAAAGATAGATGGACAGAGAGCTCTGAATAAAAAGAGGGCAACTGCCGTAGGAGGAGATTAAAGAAGTGAGTGAAAAGAGGAGGCACGCAATGGATAGAGCATGGAAGAAATATCTCTGAGGCGAGAGAAAGTCAAGTGGTGATCAAAAAGTGGGTCATAAAGAATTGTGTAAGTGTACACTGCTTTCCAACAATCAGCTAGCTTCTCCTTGTTGACCCTTTCTCCTCTGTTAGCGAGTAGACGTCATGCTATGTTACCATACAACAGAAAACAGTAGGGAGACAGGCACCTTCGCAGATTTCAGTCTTCATTGAAAAAGAAACATACATACAAGTCAAGGACATTACATCATCATACAACTGGTTAGTTCCAACAAGAATATCCAGCACAGTTGTACTGTTGATGAAGATCCAAGAGGTTAATCATTGACAAGGTCAAGTCTGAAGTTAGAATACTGTTTGTACTGTACAGTCCATGATCCTGATTCTCTTTAATATAAAACATTATGAGAGTACATGGATTATATTTCATTTGTATATTTTACAGCTTTACATTGTTCAGTAGGTGTGTTTTCCATGCTTACCTACATGACCAACTTTCACTGTAATCTATACACAGATATTGTTGCTTGAAATCTTATATTATAATTTCAGTTCATAACCAGATGTTGTTAACAGAAAATAAATATGAGTAATATCTCCTTGGGACACAAACTGTTGTATTGAGGCTTATGAACATAACATTCACAACAATAGAAAAAAGGTTTGCCATGTTCCTGTCTCAATCATACACCCCCCCCCCCCCCCCCCCCCCCCCCCCCCCCCCCCTCCCCCTCCCCCTCCCCTCCCTCTCTCCCTCTTCGATTCTCTTTCACCATCTCTTGCACATTTTTCATACACTTGAAAGCTCCAAACATTTATTTACTTCAAAATGTGGTTTTGGACTGCTTTCATTTAACCAAATGGTAGGCTTATGGTATAATAAGCATAGACAACATGTCTGAACACATTTATAAATAAATATAAAGCAGGTCTCCATCCTACTTTATTTTCCCCAAGTATTTGTTTTTCAGCAATTTATAATTATTTTGTATATTTTTTTCCAAAACTGTACAAAATTGCCATTCATACGCTTCAGCTCTCTCTACTCCCACCAATTTTTCTTATTCAGACATCTATTGTACCATATCTGTAAAGTGTGGTTTTCTAAAAATGATGTTCTCTCCTCTATAAAAAAGGGTTGCATTTTAAACCACACTTTACATTTTATAAACAACTCATTCTAGCTAACAGCTATGTTTTGTGCATATTTGTGGTATGCAATAATATAAATACCGTGTTGTCTAATATGTTTCATAAATAGAAACAGGGTGTTATGTGTATGCATGCATAGGTGGATGTGCTCTGTAGAAGGGCAATTCCATGGTAAAAGTGATGCTGAGACTCAGAATTTTCACTTCAAAATGTAGGTCAAACAAAAACCAATTTTTGCAAAGTTAAACAAACCATACAACTCTATGCACAAGGACTACTTTAAAAAACATCCACATAATTTTACAAAAAAGCACATTTACTTGAAGAACAGTGCACATGCAAAGTTTGGTAACAGAATGACTGCACAAACAGCACAAACCGTCATTCTGTTACCAAACTTTGCATCTGCACTGTTCAAGTAAATGTGATTTTGTAAAATGTTCTGTGGAAATTGTTCAAAGTAGATCTGTGCATATAACTGTATGGTTTGTTTAACTTTGCAATCATTGGTTTTTGTTTGACATACATTTTAAAGTCTCAGCATCATTCTGTTACCGTGTTATTGCCCAGAACTGATGCTTGTCGCATGAGTCTTTCTGTGTAACTGTGCTCTATCAGACATGTAAGATCTTCAGGTGCATTTGGCATCTCTCACACGTGAAGTGACAACAACCTAAGTGCAGAAGTGTGCTTCACAATAATGAGCAAGCTTGCTATGACGTGTACCCCAAGAAAACATTACTATACAATGAAGCGCATGTCTAGAATAAGTCATGATAAGAATCTCATGCATACAATGTTCCCAGTAACGTGGATATCTCCTCTGCTTTCGGTACAGGGTGGATTTGAAGCGGAGGAGGGGCGACATATGTGCATAAAACAAGTGCTAGAACACAACAACGTCTGTTTTGTGTGTGCATCACTCACTTCTCAATTAGAAACCTCTGAGGCAGAGGAAAATGTAATGCCGGTTTTGTGCAGGAATGGAAAGAAACAACCAACACTATAATATCTGAGGTGCACAATGCAATGTGCACACTCATAGAAAGTCTGTCATATCAGGAATAATGACACATGGTGGTAGATAACTAGACTTACAAGTTACTAAGGACTATAGGTTGGCAATGTTTTGGAGACTATACAGTACACTAAAATCTACTCTTTTGCATGTATTTAATCCAAACATAATCTCTCCCATATCTATGTCCAAATCCCACCATTGGTCCTTAATCCACAGTGGGGTTAAAAAGATAGTCCCCAGTAGCAATCTCCCATTTTTGTCAGGTGAGGTGTGTCAATATCCCTTGCTTAAAAACAGAAACTAAAACATTCTTGCCCCACCTTAAAAATCTCTGTGCGCTTTAAGTTTTGATGAAAAAAATGGTTAAATCGTGTTTTTAGCTTGTGTTTAGCTTCTTAAAAGACAAAAATTGGAGAATTTTGAGTTCCTCTGAGTTTGAGTGAATCAAACAAAGTTATACCTCAAATCTGAAATAAATAGTTGCTTTCCTGCACCAAAAACCCCTCAGGACACCAAGTTGTCAAAATTATTTTTCTCTTGTTATGTCCAGCATGTGCAGCATGTAGCTGGACATGTCCTTGGCTTCATTATCTTCACAGTGAAGATGTCACACTGAGCGCTCGCCATTTAGAGGGTACCTCCTCACGAGTCAGGTTCCAGTGAGCTGTTCCGGAGAATTCTGTGTTTCTGACCAGTCAGTTCCCATCTCTTCTCCTCCATGCATTAAAACAGTAGTGAGATCACAGTATTCCAAGTGTGCAGAAGTTCTGAAACATGACATGAAACTCTCACATCAAATGGGCCTCACTTGGTCTAGTAATAGAGAGAGTCTCTCCTCCCTCTCAGTCTTATGAGGATGTTATTAGCCGGGTGTCTGATGCCCATCTCGGGTATGGTCCATATGAGTCCCAGCAGTCTTTAGGGTTGAATGGACAGAGGAAGAGAGAAGGCAGCCCATCGTGAAAATCCCTGTCGTTCCAAGCAGGAGTTCTTCTCTTACACCACTGAGGGGAAATGATAAGATAAAAAAGGTTTCAGAAAATAAGGAAATCAGATAGCCATATCAACCCATTTTGTAAAAACTTCCATGAGGACAATGTGGTATGGAGACTCAGAAGTCAAGCTCAAAGTCACTACAGTCTACTCTATGCACTCTAAGGTTTGGAGAGGATTCCATGAGAATTGTCTGATCACTGTTTTAAATGAGAGATGAGTTTCCAACCATTGTGTGTATAACCTCAGATCTGGACTACAATAAAACACACTATCTAGACCATCTAAAACAACAAAACAACCCTAATGGTACCTTGTGAATAAGGGATGTGATCTGACAGAGGACAAAGTAGAAACAGAACATGTCATTAAATTAAACCAGAAACGACTAATATTCTAAAATTTTGTTTCAGAAGAAGTCTAATTTCTACATGATATAGGAAACTTACATGAGGAGGCAGAAGTTAAGGAAATATTGGTCCTGGGTTTGCATAACCATCGGATAGACCCATAGCATGCCACTGCTGGGTAAGATAGAACACTGAGAAGACCTGAGTCTTTCAACCATCTAACTACAGTACACTATATCTATGGAGGAAGGTGGTTTATAATTTGATTTACATTGTGGTCTGGGTGTGATGATAATGTTGTTAGTGTGTACTTCCCCCAAAACACGAGTCAAGAACATTCAAAGTTCATACAGTGTGAGACAGAGTACAGTGGTAAGCATAGCCTTGATAGCATAACCTATAGAAAACCCTGTTCTAATATGGGCATAATTGTATTTTTTTCTCAGTGTAGTGTTCTCATAACCCTGTGTAAGAGCTAGAGTAGAGGCATCAAGTGAGAGACTTCTAAATGTCTATGGATGTAAAGGACAGGAGGCATCAATTAGCTACAGCTGTGTCAGCAACACCTCAATGATTCCCATACATTAGGTCTAACAGCGTGAGCCTTTAATACTGTCATGATCAAACCAGATGGGTCCTTTATGCACAGAGAAAGGTTCAGTAGGCTTCAGCAGATATACACAGTAGGCCATTAAACCTATCTCTAGGGCTCATAGCCATCTACCCTCTCCAGTTGATTACAAAAATACCCCTCACCGATTATCATAATTAGAACCCCTGTAGTTTCCAATTTCAAACATGATGACAGTTGGGAATGTGAAACATAGACAAAAGACAAACTAGACAAAAGTACAAAATGAAAAGTAAGTTGAAGTCTGTACCACTTTCAGAGTGACAGCAGGACCCTCGGCCCTTCAGCATACTGCCTTGTTTCTCTGGGGCACAGTGGAGTCTGTGCCTCCGCCCAAAACCGTCCCGCCTCCACCAGCAACTGGGAGAGAGAGGACAAACTCATCATGACTAATGATTTCAGGTCAACACACCAAACAACCTTCTGAAGACCAGTGCAGGGTTTTTAATCTTACTTCATGGACAAACATCATCATGGTTGCATGTGCAGTATGTTTGGTTCATCACAATGTAATGGCGCAGATGTCTACACAAAGTATGCAGGCTCAGTGAATGGGCAGTGTCAGAGGGAGATTGTTGTTCTCTTGTGGACAGCACATTGAGCAGAATCACAGTGTGGTTGGTTAGTCATCCACATAGTTGTCTTTATGATATGCCATTTCAGTAAATGGGATAAGTCATGGAGAGATTTCTGTTAGCTTGTGGACTTCCTATTAAGCAGACATCATGTACTTACTGTAAAAGGGTGCAGAGCAGCATCGTCAAGACGCAGCCAATCACACACAGAACTAGCACCGTGGCAACTGTCTGTTGCCTGTGATTGGTGGCCACCACGGCTAGCAGGTCGGCATGCTCACATCGCATCCCTACGAAGCCTTGGTGACACCTGTCCAACATGGAGAGGAGAAAGGACATCAGACGTCATACAGCAGCAAGGACTTGATCCTTCAGGGCTGTTTGCAAATGGAGTCAGTGAGTTTGTCAATGGAGAGACCACAGCATTAAATATAACATCTATAAATATATTGTATCTCTATGGAAGACACTAATAGAGGTACAAATGAATGAAGTAGAACAGGTAAGTAGAACTATTTTACCTACGTTTCAGGAAGAATAGTTATCAGTCTGCAAAACTATTCTGCATCATATTACTACCCATACAATACCCTTCGTATTATGAACATGCCATAAAGGGTCTCAAGAGGTCACTACTAAAGAGCCTTTTAGTAAAGGGTTTAGGTCAAACAGCCTAACCCTGGAGGGAATTCCCTTCTCATCTCACTCAGTGAGAAGTGAACTGCCAAGCTCCAATTCCATAGGCCAGTGTAATTCGTATCATGCTCAGACCAGCTCTACGAACTGCAGCGAATCAGTGTACAAACAGAGCACTGGCAGAACAGATCCTAAACACACTTTGGATGTCACAGACACAGACCTAAAACTGGGTGGCTTACCCAACAAACTCTCCATAATCCTAATAACTGGTGACCACTCAAAATAAAATTAGCACATACACTAAATTGTTACAGCTAACTTGTGACAGCTCACCAGCAAGGACAGGTCACAAGTTCATGACTATCTAATAACAATTTCCCATCCAGACAGAGTAACACACTGATTCACCTGATTGTGAAATAATGACGACAGTGCCTTACTGTGGGACATAGCCTCATTTCAACAATGTGGGTGCGTGTGTCAGAGAGACAGACAGAGAGATTGAACTTACACACATGCAGGCGTCTCCTCCAGAATTAAGAAACGACAGGTGCCATGGAAACAGAAGTGGCTGTGGGAGTCAGGACAGTCATCGAAGTGTGACCGAACAGCTGCTGCAACAAACTCTGACAGAGAGAAATAATTACATTTAAGGGCATTTCTAAAACAGCTACAGGGTCTGTATTGAAAGTCCAAAACATTGTGCGATTGGATTGCAGTCAGACTGCACATAATCACTGATTTACCAATCACCTTGTATTCCAAATACAGTGGGGAAAAAAGTATTTAGTCAGCCACCAATTGTGCAAGTTCTCCCACTTAAAAAGATGAGAGAGGCCTGTAATTTTCATCATAGGTACACGTCAACTATGACAGACAAATTGAGAAAGAAAAATCCAGAAAATCACATTGTAGGATTTTTAATGAATTTATTTGCAAATTATGGTGGAAAATAAGCAAGATTTCTGGCTCTCACAGACCTGTAACTTCTTCTTTAAGAGGCTCCTCTGTCCTCCACTCGTTACCTGTATTAATGGCACCTGTTTGAACTTGTTATCAGTATAAAAGACACCTGTCCACAACCTCAAACAGTCACTCTCCAAACTCCACTATGGCCAAGACCAAAGAGCTGTCAAAGGACACCAGAAACAAAATTGTAGACCTGCACCAGGCTGGGAAGACTGAATCTGCAATAGGTAAGCAGCTTGGTTTGAATAAATCAACTGTGGGAGCAATTATTAGGAAAGGGAAGACATACAAGACCACTGATAATCTCCCTCGATCTGGGGCTCCACGCAAGATCTCACCCCGTGGGGTCAAAATGATCACAAGAACGGTGAGCAAAAATCCCAGAACCACACGGGGGGACCTAGTGAATGACCTGCAGAGAGCTGGGACCAAAGTAACAAAGCCTACCATCAGTAACACACTACACCGCCAGGGACTCAAATCCTGCAGTGCCAGACGTGTCCCCCTGCTTAAGCCAGTACATGTCCAGGCCCGTCTGAAGATTGCTAGAGTGCATTTGGATGATCCAGAAGAGGATTGGGAGAATGTCATATGGTCAGATGAAACCAAAATAGAACCTTTTGGTAAAAACTCAACTCGTCGTGTTTGGAGGACAAAGAATGCTGAGTTGCATCCAAAGAACACCATACCTACTGTGAAGCATGGGGGTGGAAACATCATGCTTTGGGGCTGTTTTTCTGCAAAGGGACCAGGACGACTGATCCGTGTAAAGGAAAGAATGAATGGGGCCATGTATCGTGAGATTTTGAGTGAAAACCTCCTTCCATCAGTAAGGGCATTGAAGATGAAACGTGGCTGGGTCTTTCAGCATGACAATGATCCCAAACACACCGCCCGGGCAACGAAGGAGTGGCTTCGTAAGAAGCATTTCAAGGTCCTGGAGTGGCCTAGCCAGTCTCCAGATCTCAACCCCATAGAAAATCTTTGGAGGGAGTTGAAAGTCTGTGTTGCCCAGCGACAGCCCCAAAATATCACTGCTCTAGAGGAGATCTGCATGGAGGAATGGGCCAAAATACCAGCAACAGTGTGTGAAAACCTTGTGAAGACTTACAGAAAACGTTTGACCTGTGTCATTGCCAACAAAGGGTATATAACAAAGTATTGAGTAACTTTTGTTATTGACCAAATACTTGTTTTCCACCATAATTTGCAAATAAATTCATTAAAAATCCTACAATGTGATTTTCTGGAGAAAAAAAATCTCATTTTGTCTGTCATAGTTGACGTGTACCTATGATGAAAATTACAGGCCTCTCTCATCTTTTTAAGTGGGAGAACTTGCACAATTGGTGGCTGACTAAATACTTTTTTCCCCCACTGTAACTACTCAATATGTGATCAAGATTCTGCACTTCGCTTTGCTCAAACTGATCCCCTCCAACATGCTGTTTCTCTCTTTGTAGGATTATACCGCAAAAGAGCCCAAAAACCTGGCCTACGCCGTACCGAAACTCCATAGGTCAGTCAGTGTCATAGATCTAAAATAACTTAATTATTGGAAAACAATGTCAAAGTCTACTCCCACGCCTCCATCCCACAACTCCAGTTAGGGAAGTTCCTGAGGCAGAGGAGACTTATTCTGAGCCTTTTGTTACCTCTGAGTGACTGGGGTTTTGTCATGGCTTACGTCAGGGACAGTCAAACCCCATGTCAAATCCCCAGTGCTACGACACAGCAAACAAAACCATCATCAAACCCATTAGAGGTCTGGAGAAAGCACATCCCTGAAGCCAGGAAGGAAAATTCTCACCCTTTTCACTCCATGGCTGTGCCTGAAATTATTACTAGCTGTCATGTCCTTGCTTCCTCCTTATGGAGAGGATCAAAAGGTCCCTCTTTTTTTTTTAGCAAAAAAATCCTTCAAACCTCTTCTATAATAATAATATAATATGCCATTTAGCAGACGCTTTTATCCAAAGCGACTTACAGTCATGTGTGCATAAACTTTTTTACGTATGGGTGGTCCCGGGGATCGAACCCACTACCCTGGCGTTACAAGCGCCATGCTCTACCAATTGAGCTACAGAGGACCACGCTTTGAGAGGAATTCAGGAAACAAGGACGGAGTCGGCAAGGATTTGACAGCTAGTAAGCTTTTCAGACACAGCCCCTCTCTCTCCTCTTCCCTTTACATCCAATCAAACTTGATTTATTATGGATGAACAATGCTAGAATAACAGAATGAATCTTCTGAAATAAATGAACATTAGGATGAGCTGAAGGGGTCAGAACTCAGGAAGAACACGGAAACCACATGTGTAAGTCTGGACGAATTTCTTACTCTTCAACTATACTGTCAGAGTTCCAAATTCCAACCAGATTGGCCCAAACAAAAGTCTAAGTATCTTTTCTCGGGCAGCCAAAACAGATGTCACAATGTGGCATTCAGAGAGGGAGGGAGAGAGGGAGTGAGAAAGAGAGAGAGAGAGGATGAACAGACAGATAGACTGCTGCATTACAGCCGACCGTAACACAGTCCATTCCATTGGTAAATGGCTGGTTGGATTCCAGCCTACATGCATTGTCCTTTCTCCCCTCTCTCTTTCAGAGCCTGTATAAAGCTCTCTGTTCTTCCCTGAGGCATCTGCCACAGCTACCCATCAGCCCCTCTCTAGCAGAGTCCCAAATTGTAACCTATTCCCTATAGTGCACTACTTTTGACTACTCTGGTCAAACGTAGTGCACTATGTAGGGAATAGGGTGCCATTTGGGATACAACCCATCTCTCTCTTCATGTGATTTTGGCAGTCAGTCGAGGATAACATTTAGGAGGAACGGAAATTAGTCATTAGGGCATTTCTGGATTTTACATGGTGCCTCGCAGATAATGACGGAAATGTGATAGTTGGTAGCCAGTGATTTAGGCTACTTGATTGTTTTTTTTTGTTACTACATTCTATCCAGGCTGAAAATTGTTTTACCAATTCATTAATGTATCTGTATGTGTCCACTTTTGAAATACATTATCTGTTGCCATCTGACTCTTCACTAGAGAAGCCTTGAATTAACATTGGCACCAGTCAATGAGTCTGAAGAGGTGAAAGATTCTCTGGAGCACCCTGTAGAGAGGTTTTATAAAGGCATTCACATTTAGACTGTCAGTCACCTGCGCACAAACATACACACAGAGACAGAAATACATACTTTTAACTGGAATGGTGGTTGTGGTGGTGGTAGAAGAGGTAGTAACGTTTACAGTGGTAGTGGTGGTAGTTACAGGAGGGGTGGTGGTCATTGTAGAATTAGTAGCAATAGTAGAATTATCCTGGCCTGTTCCATATGTAAAGAGGGAACCTATTGGAAGAAACAGATTATGAAATTATAAAGTACACACATCAGTAATAATGTCAAGAATGATCAGCGAAAGAAACTGTTGGAACAATACACAAAATCCCAGTTGGCTTTAATAGTTGACAATCAGCGAAACAGGCCATCTCCAGATGACTTATTGCTCTCAAAATAGAACTAATCTCCCACCTGGAACCCAATAGAACAAGGTGACATTAATTAGGTCCCCACTGATCATCCCAAGTACTATTCAGTAAGGGGAAACTGACTGAAATGGGCTGCGCAGCCTAATTCTGATATTTGTTCCACCCAATCACATCAGATCTTTTCACATCAGCGCTTTTTCAGAGCTTATCTGATTGGTAAAAAGACCAATTAGTGAAAGAAATATCAGAATTGGGCTGCCTGTGTGAACGTAGCCATGGGGGGGTACTACCTAAGAACACTGATTCTTGTTTTCTGTTGCCAAACCACTACAGTATATGTTCACATATCAGACTTACTTGATTTAAACCTCTTTGCCCCCTTGGGAGCATAGGATTTCCACCTCCCTCTTCTGTGTGATGGCCTTTGTCTCTTGCCAGGAGATCTTAACATATCATTGCACTGCAATCTTGTTATATTATCTTATTTCTAGTTCTTGACCTTAATTAACCACCTATTTTTTCTGTTGCACTGGTCTCATTGGGAATTGAATCCTGAGGCATGTGCTGTACTTATAACTCTCCCATTTGTCATTATGTTTGGAGCTCCTCTCATCAGCTTGCGTAGTCCAAGAGTGACAATAGGATGAACATACTACAATGGGTCTATAATAGGACTAAGCTGGGATAGTCTTAATATAGACCGAGATCTTTGAGAGAGATCACACAATTAGAATACTGTAAGGCACCTAATGAGAGACGAGATTGTTATTCAGTGATGTGTAGATATCAGACAATGAAAGTGCTGAGTATCAAATTAGCTGTCGCCATACTGCTCAGATTGATAAGAGATGGTTTCAGTCTGTCATACGAGTTTCAGGAAGGGCCATTTACTTGCAAGCTCTTCCTTCTCCGAGATTTCAAATGATATTTGTTTTGGTTGTTGAAAAACACAGGTCATATAACACATGGGTCAATCAGTGTCAGCTGGTGTTGGTGATGAAGGAGAGGAGAACCGCTAACCGTCAGTCAATGGGTGACATCCCTGTGATGTTGCTAAGGACACTGTGAGCGTAACAAGGTACAAAGCCCAGAAATAGAGAGAGCAGGTGAATGCTGTGTCAAGGCAGGCTTTGTCCCCAATGGCATCCTATTCCCTACATAGGGCTCAGGTCAAAAGTAGTGCACTAAGAGCCCTGGTCAGAAGTAGTACACTATGTAGGGAATAGGGTTATATTTTGGACACAAGCCAGTGTGACTGAACAACCAATAACAGTAGCAGGATCAAGTATTCCCTCCCTGCTAAAAGGATGAGGCCATTAGAAACCTATGAATAGGTCTGAACTGGCAGTTAACGCATGCTACATAAAACATCAACCTTGTCTCATTGGTAGGCCAACCATCTTTGTTTCTCATAGAAAATGTGAAATTTCACTGACCCTGAGGGATAGCCACAAAAATGGTTATAATTCACAAATTGGAGCCATATTCAATCAAAACTGGAAACCAGATTCCCAGCTTATGAGTAGGCTAGGCTAGGCTATATAGGCCTGGAGTATCAACTTTATCCCTTCTGATGCCCACGAAAACAGTGCTCTTCCTTAATGTGAGAAATTGGCGAGATAGAGGTTACTGTTGATATTTTGTAATTAAAATGTTCGTTTCCCCCTGCTTTTTCAGGGACCCCTGGTTGAGGCTTTATTTGTAAGGAATTTTATTTGTAAGGAAAAGGGTCCACAGAAGTAAAGCTAGTTTCTTATTAGGAAATAATAAGGACCTTTTCCCTTATGGTATAGCAAATTCCAATTTACTCAAATCACCTTTTTTATTTAACATTTTACACTCATTAAAATTGTTTACCAACTCTTCTGTTTGTTTTCATTGAACTCACCAGTAATGAGAAAGATTGCATCCCAGAAAGCCCGGTTCATCATGATGAAGTTTGTCTGTCTGTCAAAGTAATCCTCCGAAATTCGAGTGTTCTCTGCTCAAGTCCATAAATATTTGTCTAGGCCTAGTCAGGAGAGAGAAATGTGTTCGTATAAAATATAGTAAATCCTTCTTCAATCACAAAACCCTTTCTGCTTCTCCACTACAGGCTACTACTGACCGGCTTCAGAAATGTCTCAAACAATGCAAGTGCGTCGCTATTCAGCAACTTTATTATTGTCCAATGCCATGTGCAAACTGAGTTGACGTGCCTGATATATCATAATTAAAGTGTAACAACCAACAAGTCTTCAAATACTTCCTTTCGATTAATATTTCTTAATTTAAACGGAGAAGTTATGTCCATGCGCTAACAATTCCACTCTCCTCCAGTCGAAATAAACCCTTTCAAGCACCGCACACGTAATCCTGTCAGTGGCGTCCCCTGAGTAGCTCTATCGCGGGACGCTTGTAATTCGAGAGAGAGAGGCGTGAGATAGTGATAAATATTTATTTTCCCTTTTGTACTTCAACTATTTGCACATTGTTACAACACTGTACATAGCCATAATATAACATTTGAAATGTCTCTATTCTTTTTAACTTTTGTGAGTAATGTTTACTGTTCATTTCTGATTGTTTATTTCACTTTTTTTTTTTTTATCTATTTCACTTGCTTTGGAAATGTAAACACATGTTTCCCATGTCAATAAAGCCCTTAGAATTGAATTGAGAGATTGAGAAAGAGAAAGAGAAAGAGTGCGAGAGTATTCAATATCATTCTCTCTTTGCTCTCTCTGCTGGGCCAACGTCCAGTTACCTAAAATAGCTTGTTTTTAGGGAATGTTTTAGAGTAAAATTAAACTTATCACAAGAATCTTGTTACGATAACTCAATCTTCAAATGACCAGCTTTCATATTTCAATTTGGTAGTGGCTTTGATATGGGCAGTTATACTGAACAAAAATATAAACGCAACATGTAAAGTGTTGGTTTCATGAGCTGAAATAAAAGATCCTAGAAATTTTCCATACACACAAAAAGCATATTTCTCTCAAATGTTGTGCACAAATTTGTTTACATCCTTGTTAGTGAGCATTTCTCCTTTGCCAAGATAATCCATCCACCTGACAGGTGTGGCATATCAAGAAGCTGATTAAACAGCTTGCTCAATACATAGGTGCACCTTGTGCTGGGGACAATAAAAGGCCACTCTAAAATGTGCAGTTTTGTAACACAACACAATGCCACAGATGTCTCAAGTTTTGAGGGAGCGTGCAATTGGCATGCTGAATGTAGGAATGTCCACCAGAGCTGTTGCCAGATAATTTAATGTTAATTTCTCTACCATAAGCCGCCTCCAAAGTCATTTTAGAGAATTTGGCAGTACGTCCAACCGGCATCACAACCGCAGACCATGTGTATGGCGTTGTGTGGGCGAGCGGTTTGCTGATGTCAACATTTTGAACAGAGTGCCCCATGGTGGCGGTGGGGTTATGGTATGGGCAGGCATACAACGAACACAGTTGCATTTTATTGATGGCAATTTGAATGCACAGAGATACCGTGACGTGATCGTGAGGCCCATTGTCGTGCCATTCATCCACCACCATCACCTCATGTTTCAGCATGATAATGTATGGCCCCATGTCGCAAGGATCTGTACACAATTCCTGGAAGCTGAAAATGTTCCAGTTCTTCCATGGCCTGCATACTCACCAGACATATCACCCATTGAGCATGTTTGGGATGCTCTGGATGGACATGTACGACAGCGTGTTCCAGTTCCCGCAATATCCAGCAACTTCACACAGCCATTGAAGAGGAGTGTGACAACATTCAACAGGCCACAGTCAACAGTGTGATCAACTCTATGCGAAGGAGATGTCACGCTGCATGAGGCAAATGGTGGTCACACCAGATACTGACTGGTTTTCTGATCCACGCCCCTACCTTTTTTTTAAGGTATCTTTGACCAACCGATGCATATCTGTATTCCCAGTCATGTGAAATCCATAGATTAGGGCCTAATTTATTTATTTCAATTGACTGATTCCGTTATATGAATTGTAACTAAGTAAAATCTTTGAAATTGTTGCATGTGGCGTTTATATTTGTGTTCAGTGTATGTAGCCCAGGTCTAGTGCACCCATATGGGCCTACAGATGGACTATCCAGAATTAATGTCTGCATACTTCATATTGCCCAATTTTGTAGGCCTAATTATGCCTCCATAGGGCAATGACAGTTTGTTCCACTCCACTTAATGCACTCACAAATCAGCATAAAACTGATAAAGGATAATGAGCACATTCCCTTTATGTTGATCCAACAACACCCATGCACCTTGAAACACACAAAACTCCAGATACAGAGCATGTTCTATTATATTTCCAAACCAAATTAAAAGGATGTTGGTCTTGAAATGGTAAACATCAAAATACTTCATTCATATCCATCTGCATGATAATTGATAGCCTACAAGCGTTAAATTAATATAACCTATTTGTCACTAAACAATGTCATTGCATGTATTTGACAGCTGTTTAGAAATGACTTATTATGAGATTCATTAACTTTATGGTGGTAAATTAGTGTGAAAAATCAATTGTGTTCATGATGGGCTTATCAATAAAAAGTTAAATGGGTTCAAGGCAGGGAAAAACAAATAGTACACTGTGGTAGTGGCCAAAGTGACAACAATAATAGTGCAAATTTAACTTAAAATTAGATAAAGGGTTGAATTTAACTAGGACGTTTTGTGTAGCATGATTAATGAATCAATCTTGATTTAACCCAGTTTAACCTTTTCCTGCGGTCAGGAAGCATTTTTTGGCAGTCTTAATCCATGTTGGTGCAACCCACCCTGATTTGTCACTGCTGGCCAAATGATTAAATTAGATATCTGGCTAGTTGACTTTTAACAAACATGATAAGCCACAGGTGCTAAAATTGGTAATCATACAAAAACAATACAGCACATACACTGTAATTTGATTGCTTAAACCACCTCCAGTGGCAGTTTAGAATTAAGACCTAATCTAAGTTTAAATTTGATTTTGAAACAAGAGTAAATTTGATCCTGGTTCAAAGTGAAAAATTAAAAACTTAGATTAGATGAAGGGTTAAATGTAACTAATTCAATACTAGGTTTAACATTTTGTGCAACATGATTAATATATCAACCTTAACTTAACTCAGTTTAAGAGTCCATTCATGTTGGTGCAACCCACCCTGGTATTTTACAACTGTGTTGAGCCTAGAAGTAGTGTATTGAAAACTCATCCGATGCCATTACTCATAAGCCTTCAATGCAGCACCATCTGCTGGCTGGACAGCAACATTTGAAGAGGCTGATCAGTATTAGCCAATGATGTTGGTAGTAGCCTATGATACTGTATGTGCCTCAATTCAACTTGGTGACCTACAGGCTACACAAACATCAAACTGTCATACATTGATGTCAATTGGAAATTTGCTCCAAAAGAGCTTGAGTTCAGTACGCGCGTTTGACGTAAAGATGCAGCCCAATAATGAGAGTATAGGTCGGCTTTGAGCATGACAGCAGCATATCACCCTGCATCCAACTGCTGGTTTGCCTCCTCTGAAGCTAAAGGGAGACCAGATGCTGCTGTCATGCTCGAAGCCGGTCTGGAGGGAGACCAGATGCTGCTGGAAATTCTGCAGTTTTAAAGCTAATTTCCTGCAATTCTGCACATTTTGCCTCGACTTATACGATGTCATACGACTAACAAAATCAATGATAGCCCCCTGGAGGTCGGGGGTACCCTGGAGGTCAACGCACCTGGAGATCAGGGCCCCTGGGCACGTGCCCTTTATAATTCCACCATGAAGATTTAGATAGCTGGCTAATTGAGTGACTGTCATGATTGACATAATATACAGTGCATTCGGAAAGTATTCAGACCCCTTGACTTTTTCCACATTTTGTTATGTTACAGCCTTATTCTGAAATTCATTAAATCGTTTTTTTCCCTCATCAATCTACACACAATAACCATAATGACTAAGCAAAAACTATTTTTCAGAAATTTTTGAAAATGTATTAAAATTAAACAACTGAAATATTACATTTACATAAGTATTCAGACCCTTTACTCAGTACTTTGTTGAACCACCTTTGGCAGCGATTACAGCCTCAAGTCTTCTTGGGTATGATGCTACAAGCTTGGCACACCTGTATTTGGGGAGTTTCTCCCATTCTTCTCTGCAGATCCTCTCAAGCTCTGTCAGGTTGGATCAGGTCATTCCAGAGATGTTCGATAGGGTTAAAGTCTGGGCTCTGGCTGGGCCACTCAAGGACATTCAGAGACCTGTCCCGAAGCCATTCCTGCGTTGTCTTGGCTGTGTGCTTAGGGTTGTTGTCCTGTTGGAAGGTGATCCTTCGCCCCAGTCTGAGGTCCTGAGCACTCTGGAGCAGGTTTTCTTCAAGGATCTCTCTGTACTTTGCTCCGTTCATCTTTCCCTCGATCCTGACTAGTCTCACAGTCCCTGTCGCTGAAAAACATCCCCACAGCATGATGCTGCCACCACCATGCTTCACCGTAGAGATGGTGCCAGGTTTCCTCCAGATGTGATGCTTGGCATTCAGGCCAAAGAGTTTAATCTCGGTTTCATCAGACCAGAGAATCTTGTTTCTCATGGTCTGAGAGTCCTTTAGGTGCCTTTTGGAAAACTCCAAGCGGGCTGTCATGTGCCTTTTACTGAGGAGCAGCTTCCGTCTGGCCACTCTACCATAAAGGCCTGAATGGTGGAGTGCTGCAGAGATGGTTGTCCTTCTGGAAGGTTCTCCCATCTCCACAGAGGAACTCTGGAGCTCTGTCAGAGTGACCATCGGGTTCTTGGTCACCTCCCAAGGCCCTTCTCCCCCGATTGCTCATTTTGCCCGGACGGCCAGCTCTAGAAAGGGTCTTGGTGGTTCCAAACTTCTTCCATTTAAGAATGATGGAGGCCACTTTTTGATACCCTTCCCCAGATCTGTGCCTCAACCCAATCCTGTCTCAGAGCTCTACGGACAATTCCTTCGACCTCATGGCTTGGTTTTTGCTCTGACATTCACTGTCAACTGTGGGACCTTATATAGACAGGTGTGTGCCTTTCCAAATCATGTCCAATCAATTTAATTTACCACAGGTGGACTCCAATCAAGTTGTAGAAACATCTCAAGGATGACAATGGAAACAGGATGCACCTGAGCTCAATTTCGAGTCTCATAGCAAAGGGTCTGAATACTTATGTAAATAAGGTATTTCTGGGTTTTTTTGTTTTTATATTTAATCAATTTTAGAATAAGGGTGTAACGTAACAAAATGTGGAAAAAGCGAAGGGGTCTGAATACTTTCCGAATGCACTGTATATGCCATTTAGCAGACGCTTTTATCCAAAGCAACTTGTCATGCCTGCATACATATGGGTGGCCCCGGGAGTCAAACCCACAGCCCTGGTGGTGTAAGTGCTATGCTCTACCACAGGGATTATCAACTAGATCCAGCTGTGGGCCAATTTTTTCTTGAGCGGATGGTCAGGGGGCCGGAACATAATTACAAATTGACCACAAGAAGCCCAAACATATATAATATTTGACTAAAACATAATACTTTCAAACCTTGCTTACATTTGTATACGATCACGTGTCTCTCTATTATGCTTGGAAATACTTGAACAAATTTCCAAAATAAAAATCACTTGGATCATTTGATTCCCTAGTGTTTTTACAGTCTTATGTCCAACAATGAAAATGTATTTATTTTCTGCTCAGAAAACTTAGAGGGGCAAATAAAACCTCTTGCCCGCAGGCAGCCAGTTGGGGAACCCAACTGAGCCACACAGGACCACATACCAAGATAAAAACTGCTGATACACTACCAAATTTCGAAATTGCGTTGTGTATTTTACTACGCTATCTCTGAACAGTAAATTGAAACCCAGATTGAGTTCCTAAAAAAGCGTGTAGTATTTGTATTTGTTATGGATCCCCATTCTTCCTGGGGTCTAGCAAAATTAAGGCAGTTATACATTTGAAAAACATTACAATACATTCATAACATATTTCACAACATAGTCTGCATATAGGCAGAGGCAGCAATGCTTATCGTAAGATAAGGGTGGCAGGTAGCCTAGCGTTTAAGACCGTCGGGCCAGTAACCGAAAGGTTGCTTGTTTGAAACCTTGAGCCAACTAGGTGAGAAATTTAGCAAGGCACTTAACCCCAATTAATCCTGTAAATCGTTCTGGATAAGAGCGTCTGCTAACTGACTAAAATGTAAAACATTTAGGAGTAGTTATATACGTTCTGCGTTTAACCAGTTAGCAAGTCGGACATTTCCGAGTTTCCTAGTTCCGACTAGGACGTGAACGCGGCGATAACCCCGGTGTCCTGACTAATTTCCACCTAATCATCCCCAGCTTCCAATTGGCTCGTTCATCGCCCCTCCTCTTCCCTGTAACTATTCCGCCAGGTCGTTGGTGTAAATGAGAAGGTGTTCTCAGTTAATTTACCAGGTAAAATAAGGGTTAAATAAATGACTTGGTCCAGCATTTGTAAATCGACAGCGTGACGTTATCGGTGACCACTGAACTAGAGCAAGCATGCACCTGTTATTGTGGCGACACTGCCTGAAAGTTGATTTCCCGAAATAATAGGCAGGTGTTCTGTCGAGACGTTGCGTATAATAATACATTGTTATAAAAACATTTGGTAGGATTATCATAACTCAATGTTGTGACAACGATACGAGACAAATTCCACAGTATAGGTCAATGAATCGAAGTGACATGAATAACCTATTGCCATCACATCTCCGATCTGAGGCAACAGGCTATCCATATTCCATTTCCGACCAGACCTAGGACAACGCTCAACTGAAGTTTAGTATTAAACAGAAACCTGACATTTCATAGTGGTTAGACATTCGCTTAACATAACAGGAGTTAGGTGTCACATGAAACTTGACCGTGTGTGTGATACATTAAATTAACAAATGGTTTTCCCTGCCGCTGTAAAAGATGAGGGATGGGGCTGGAGAAATGTAACCACTCTCAAATTCATAAACAGAGCTATGGATGCAAGGACTGACCATCCACGATATCAAAGTTATAGTTTTAACTATGTTTTGAGGCAGTGTTTGTTTACATTTAGGCTCCTTTGTTAACAAACATTGGATTAAAACAAGCATACATTTTGCGTTCTGATGGGGTAGAACGGTTGAACTAACCTCCTGAGGCATTTATAAATTACATTCTTCAAGAATCATTGGGTACATATCATGAATTTCTAAGTTCAAAAATGGATGTAGCAATGGCAGATTGCCTTTTTAATGTACATCCCACCGTTCTGTTTCTCACACACGTGCCGGGAGCAGATACTGTACTTATAGTAGAGTTGTTAGGGGGTCTGCGCTCTCACAAATGATTGCCCAACCTATCATTTGTGTTTCTTAAAAAAAAAAAAAAAAAACGTATTTCTACTGACAGGGCAATTATCTAAATGTGATGTTAATGGTGACATCATGTGCCACTGGAGGCATTCTTCAGTATGGCTACAACCTTGTCATAATGAATGCACCCACCATAGTAAGTGTGTGTGTATGTGTGTGTGTGTGTGTGCGCGTGTGCGTGGGTGTCTGTGCCCGTGTGTGTATTTGTGTGTACATACAGTATGCTCACTCTACCTTTCCTCTTAGTTTATTCAGAACTTTGTGAACGAGACATTTCGGGAGCGCTGGGACGTTCAGCTGGAGGACTACCAGGTCACCCTGGTCTGGACTTGCATCGTGTCCATCTACTCCCTGGGGGGGCTGGCCGGAGCTCTTATAGCTGGACCCATGAGCATAACCTTTGGAAGGTAATAATGTATTATAGCTGGACCCATGAACATAACCTTTGGAACGTAATAATGTATTATAACTGGACCCGTGAAAATAACCTTTGGAAGGTAACTTGACTTATTTGATTAACTCGTTTTGGCCTACTTTGGAAGGCAATGTTATTAATGTCAAGACAATGTTAATGTCAGCTATTTACACAAGGATGTGTGGTAACCTTGGTATGTGGACCTCACTGAGAAGCTTATTACGTTGTATTTTTACATTGTGTTTTTGAATGTTGTCAATTTTATAAATTGTGATCAAGCAGGCCTCCCTTGAAAAATAGGCCTGGGTCTTAATGGGACTCCCTGCTAAAATAAAGGTTAAATTAAGAAAAAACAACATTATGTGCTTTAAAAATCAATATTATCAGTGATCTGTCAGTGATATAACATCTCAAAAAGAACTGTTTACTGATGAGCAAATGATCACCTATTTATGGGTCAGATATAAAAGGAGAGGTTGCTTTGAAGAGAGCATAGATACAGGATCTCTGAATACTGGGGGTGGCAGGTAGCCTAGCGGTTAGAGCGTTGGGCCAGTAGCTGAAAGGTCACTAGTTTGAATCCCAGAGCAAGGCACTTAACCCTAATTGCTCCAGGGTTGCCATTGATAATGGCTGACCCTGGCCTTGACCCCACTCTCAGAGGGTGTCTAAGGGTGAGTTGGGATAGGCAAAAAACACATTTCCATTTCACACACATGTATAATACACAAATATAAGCACCCACTAAATTATTATTATTATGAAGACAGTAAGGCTACCTTTACTTCATGTTTCCTCCTCAAAGTGGAGTCAGTCTATCACAATGTGGAGGTGTTTATGTTTCTCAAGGCTGATAGAGAACTCTGAACCTTGCAGGCTGGCGCCAGGGCATATTATGATATCTATATGAGTAGTATTTGCGTTAACGTAATTGTAACATAATTACTACAGTATTAGTTCATTGATATTCAAGACTGACTTAACTCTACTCTACTCGTTTCCACTCTATTCTATTTTCCTGTACTCTACTCTACTTTAAACCCCCTGTGTTGCTCTCACAGGAAGAAGACTATGCTGTTGAACAATATCTTCTTGATGCTGAGTTCACTCCTAGCATTGACCAGCAGAGCTGCCAAGTCTTTTGAGATGATCATCATCTCCAGGGTCCTGGTTGGAATCAATGCTGGTATGTACTGTATATTCAACCAGAGGGTTCTTAGATGGGGGTTCTTATGTCATCAAACCATGCTCATTGTGGCACTGACTGCATTACTGTTTTGGGATTTTACAATAGAGAAGAATTGTAATACTTGTAGTATGTTTGTTGCTTTCTTAGGTCTTTAAATGTCAATGGCATGTACAGTATAGCTATACATAATAAGACAAACAACTGTACAATTACAGTATTATGTTTGATGTTGGAAAATGAAACCACCGACAGTAGAGAAATTATCCACTCCTTTCACAGGGATCAGTATGAATGTGCAACCCATGTATTTTGGAGAGAGTGCTCCCAAGCACCTGCGAGGGGCTGCTTCCCTGTTGTCAGCCATCTTCACATCGTTTGGAGTGGTGTTAGGACAGGTTGTGGGCCTCAGGTAGGGTTGTGGGTACAGGTTGTGGGACAGGTTGTGGGCCTCAGGTAGGCAACAGACAACACAACGACGAACAAAAGGAGGCCTGTATCAATGGTAGGGAGGAGGAGAGCCAGCAGACCATGGCCTGTGTTAGTGTGTGGCTGTGTGTAGTACATGCTTGTCAGAGCCACATGGCTCTGTTCCTCTTGTATGTGAGTTAGTGTGAGAGGTATATACAGTAAAAACATTAGCAGGTTCTGCTGCTGTTGTTCATTGTGCTGCCTCTGCGTCAGCAGGGATGGGCAGTCTTTGTATCAACTACATGCATCTGTGTACTTTTTTATCATTTGTTTGTATATACGAAATCCATTTTGCCCGTCCGTGTGTGTGTGTGTGTGTGTGTGTGTGTGTGTGTGTGTGTGTGTGCATACGTGTTAGCCCTGCGGCGTCTGCGTGGCTGTGAGGTCCAGCGGTCAGAGTTGGATGAGATCCTCCATGAGCAGGCTGAGGCTAAAGGCCTGAGGCCCAGCAGACCCTGGGAGCTGTTGGCTGACCGTAACGTCCGCTGGCAGGTGATCTCCATCATCACCATCAGCAGCGCCATGCAACTCTGTGGCAACGACTCAGTGAGTTACTGCAAAAACATTAGAACTCAGAACTCGGAACGTAGAACTTATAAGAACTCTATTTTTCAACAGGGAACTTCATTTGTTCCTAATTTGTAATACATTATGTAGGCTACGTGTCACATAAAATCATAAATACTACACTACATGACCAAAAGTATGTGGATGCCTGCTCGTCGAACATCTCATTCCAAAATCATGGGCATTAATGTGGAGTTGGTCCACCCTTTTGTTGCTATAACAGCCTCCACTCTTCTGGGAAGGTTTTCCAATAGATGTTGGAACATTACTGCGGGGACTTTCTTCCATTCAACCTCAAGAGCATTAGTGAGGTCGGGCACTGATGTTGGCCGATTAGGCCTGGCTCGCAGCCGGCGTTCCAATTCATCCCAAAGGTGTTCGATGGGGTTGAGGTCAGGGCTCTGTGCAGGCCAGTCAAGTTATTCCACACTGATCTCGAAAAAAACATTTCTGTATGGACCTCGCTTTGTGTACAGGGGCATTGTCATGCTGAAAGAGGAAAGGGCCTTTCCCAAACTGTTGCCACAAAGTTGGAAGCACAGAAATGTCTAGAATGTCATTGTATGCTGTAGCGTTAGATTTCCCTTCACTGGAACTAAGGGGCCTAGCCCAAACCATGAAAAACAGCCCCAGACCATTATTCCTCCTCCACCAAACTTTACAGTTGACACTATGCATTCGGGCAGGTAGCATTCTCCTGGCATCCGCCAAACCCAGATTAGTCCGTCGGACTGCCAGATGGTGAAGCGTGATTCATCACTCCAGAGAACGCGTTTTCCGCTGCTCCAGAGTCCAATGGCAGCGAGCTTTACACCACTCCAGCCGACGCTTGGCATTGCACATGGTGATCTTAGGCTTGTGTGTAGCTGCTCAGCCATGGAAACCATTTCATGAAGCTCCCGACGAACAGTTATTCTGCTGACATTGCTTCCAGAGGCAGTTTGGAACTCGGTAGTGAGTGTTGCAACCGAAGACAGACAATATTTACACGCTACGCGCTTCAGCACTCAGCGGCCTGTTCTGTGAGCTTGTGTGGCTTACCACTTCGTGGCTGAGCCGTTGTTGCTCCTAGACATTTCCACTTCACAATAACAGCACTTAGAGTTGACCGGGGCAGCTCTAGCAGAGCAGAAATTTGACAAACTGACTTGTTGGAAAGGTCGCATCCTATGACGCTGCCACGTTGAAAGTCACTGAGCTCTTCAGTAAGTCCATTCTACTGCAAATGTTTGTCTATGGAGATTGCATGGCTGTGTGCTCGATTTTATAGACTTGTCAGCAACGGGTGTGGCTGAAATAGCTGAATCTACTAATTTGAAGCGGTGTCCACATACTTTTGTATATAAAGTGTATCTGTGGTGAATGATGATATGTCCTTTTACCCGCTTTCTTACAAATGATGTAAGAAGCAGACTCCTGCCAGCAGACTCCTCTTGTTATTGCATGCTGGTGATGATGACATGCGGTTGTACTTTACGTTGTAATGCTGCAGGAGTTAGGGATGAGAACATAACGGGTTGTTTGTATTTCAGGGTTTAATGAAGAGGTGTAGTCAGTCCAAGACCATGCCATTTCACTGGTGCTGCAGTCTTAGTTAGTTGCCTTCATACTACATTTAACAGTCCCAAACTGCTGACTGTGTAATTACAGTACCTTTCTTTCTCCAGGGGATTATTAGACCAGAGGGCTAGCAGCTGGAAGCATTAGGGGAAGAGCTGACTGAGTATTAGAGCAGTAATGTGCAAAATGCTTTGCTGCTGAATCAGCTTATTATCAACACAATTTGAATTTGATGTAATGATTAGAGATGCTCAGTCAGCCTGTCAGTACTCTGTCAGTAAATTATAAGGACGGGTAGCATTCTAGGAAAAACTATAGAAAAAGTATAGTCTTTGTTTTATTAAAAAATCATCATAACTGAAACAGCAGCCATTGTACTCTGTCAGTGCTCTGACGTATGATATGTTATTTTTCACTCCAACAGATCTACTTCTATGCATACTATGTGTTTAAAGAGGCCGGGATCTCTCCAGATATGATCCAGTATAGTGCCTTGCAAAAGTATTTATCCCCCTTGCCGTTTTTCCTATTTTGTTGCATTACAACCTGTAATTTAAATGGATGTTTATTTGGATTTTATGTAATGGACATACACAAAATAGTCAAATTGGTGAAGTGAAATTTTAAAAATAACTTGTTTAAAAAAATTCTAAAAAATGAATAACGGAAAAGTGGTGCATGGATATGTATTCACCCCCTTTGCTATGAAGCCCCTAAATAAGATCTGGTGCAACTAATTACCTTCAGAAGTCACATAATTAGTTACATTGCACACAGGTGGACTTTATTTAAGTGTCACATGATCTGTCACATGATCTCATATGGAAGAAGGTACTCTGGTCAGATGAGACAAATTCAGCTTTTTGGCCATCAAGGAAAACGCTATGTCTGGAGCAAACCTAACACCTCTCATCACCCCGAGAACACCATCCCCACAGTGAAGCATTGTGGTGGCAGCATCATGCTGTGGGGATGTTTTTCCATCGGCAGTGACTGGGAAACTGGTCAGAATTGAAGGAATGATGGATGGCGCTAAATACAGGGAAATTCTTGAGGGAAACCTGTTTCAGTCTTCCAGAGAATTTGAGACTGGGACGGAGGTTCCCCTTCCAGCAGGACAATGACCCTAAGCATACTGCTAAAGCAACACTCAAGTGGTTTAAGGGGAAACATTTAAATGTCTTGGAATGGCCTAGTCAAAGCCCAGACCTCAATCCAATTGAGAATCTTAAAGATTGCTGTACACCAGCGGAACCCATCCAACTTGAAGGAGCTGGAGCAGTTTTGCCTTGAAGAATGGGCAAAAATCCCAGTGGCTACATGTGCCAGGCTTATAGAGACATACCCCAAGAGACTTGCAGCTGTAATTGCTGCAAAAGGTGGCTCTACAAAGTATTGACTTTGGGGGGGGTGAATAGTTATGCACGCTCAAGTTTACAGTTTTTTTGTCTTATTTCTTGTTTGTTTCACAATAAAAAATATTTTGCATCTTCAAAGTGGTAGGCATGTTGTGTAAATCAAATGATACAAACCCCCCAAAAATCCATTTTAATTCCAGGTTGTAAGGCAACAAAATAGGAAAAATGCCAAGGGGGGTGAATACTTTCGCAAGCCACTGTATATCACCACTGGTATGTGTATGTGAATTCACAGCCTGTATAATATGTGTGAGTATTCCTGAGTTATAATACACATAGTTGTTAGTAAGTATTGGTAACTAACTAACCACCCCAGAGGCAAGGAGGGATTGTTATTCTCTCTCTCTCTCTCTCTCTCTCTCTCTCTCTCTCTCTCTCTCTCTCTCTCTCTCTCTCTCTCTCTCTCTCTCTCTCTCTCTCTCTCTCTCTCTCGCTCTCTCTCTCTAATACAGACCTTTGAAATAGTCACTCTGTAAGAAAAGTTATATTTGTAAATTTTTCCTGCATTCCGAGAACAGTTAAAGCACCTATCCGACATACTGTTTGGATTAGAATGTTAAAAGAAAGATATCTATTTTCACACAAGGCTAAAACATGCTCACCTCAGTGTAACCATCTTCTCTCATCTGCTAGTGTCTTCCCTCTCCGACACCTTTGTCTCGTTCTGTCTCTCTGCAGAGTGAGCTGGGTGAGTTCTGCTTCATCCCGTTCACTGCTGTCTGTTTCCTGTCTGCTCTGTACGTGGGCCTGGTTCTGCCTGAGACCAAAGGAAAGACCTTGTCAGCTATCGCCAGCGAGTTCCACAAGCTCAACTACAGGGGCCAGGACAAGCAGGGTCTACCTGCCCCTCAGGGAGAGGTCTGCCACTCCACTGCCCTGTAGGCCCACTGCTCTCTCACCCACGAACTACGACCTCTACACTGGACCACAGCACTATTTAAGGTGTATTAATTAACTTTAATTTAGCTTGAGATCCCGTTGAGGTCAGAATACCTGTTTTCCCACAGGAAACATGATTTTCCATACTCTTGGTTTTGGGAAAAGCAGACAGAGGTGTATTTGCTTTAATTCAAAATGAAATTTAGGGTTGGGTTAAATGCGAAAGACATATTTCAGTTGAATGCATTGTTGCACAACTGACTAGGAATTCCGTTTCCTTTCCTTTCCCTTTCAATCATCATCAATAAACTCATGAAGAGAAAATGTGTTGTGTTGAAAACAGAGATCCTAAGGTTATATAATATGTAATTATTTGGTATTGAGTTGTTTAGTGAAAGCCTTATGTATAGAGAGGTGTTAGGGGATGGACTGTATTTACTTTGAAAGTTGTTCATTTTAATAATGTGCCTTTGGCATCAAGTAGTGAACTATAGTCTACCAGTATCTGTTGAAGAAAATACCAAGTGGTCATAACCCCATCTTTACACAGGAGTTGTGGGTCCCATATCCACTGGCATAAATCAAATCAAATGTTATTTGCCACATGCGCCGAACACCTTACAGTGAAATGCTTACTTACAAGCCCTTAACCAACAATTCAGTTTTAAGAAAAAAAGTGTTAAGTACAAAATAGCTCAGTTAAAAATAAAAAATTATTAAAGAGCAGCAGTAAAATAAAATAACAGTAGGGAGGCTATATACAGGGAGTACTGGTACAGAGTCAATGTGTGGGGATATAGGGCATACCACCCCATTATTTTATTTTAGTCAAACATTATCTGTTTGGGCTTCTTGCGGTCAATTTGCAGTCTACAAATTATTTGTAATTATGTACCGGCCCCCCAACCATCCGCTCCAGAAGAAATCGGCCCGCGGCTGAATCTAGTTGATGATCCCTGTCATTAAGCCTTGGCAAAATGTTTAGAATTACAGGAAATTAGCTTTGAAACTGCAAAATATTCTCTCAGCCTCATGGAAGAATTTGTAGAATAGCATGAGATTAGCTATACAACTCTTATTGTTTCTCTCTGCCCCATGGCAAAATGTGTAGAATTGCAGGAAATTAGCTTTAAAACAGCAAGGGGGGGGCCTTGCTCGGAAACTGCGGTATGCCACTGCCAATATCTTGAAGGGTTGAATGTAATCCACATAAAGCCTTAATGGTGAATTCTATATAAACTGATCAGGAAAGTTATGATGGGGTTTTTATGACCAATATTTTTATTGCGACAAGGATTTACCAAATCCCTATGACAGATGTATAAAATCGAGCACACAGCCATGCAATCTCCATAGACACACATTGGCAGTAGAATGGCCCGTACTGAAGAGCTCAGTGAGGAGCAACAACGGCTCAGCCGTGAAGTAGTAGGCCACACAAGCTCACAGAATGGGACCGCCGAGTGCTAAAGCGCGTAGCGAGTAAAAATCGTCTGTCCTCAGTTGCAACACTCACTACCGAGTTCCAAACTACCTCTGGAAGCAATGTCAATGTCAATGTTCGTCGGGTGCTTCATGAAATGGTTTCCATGGCTGAGCAGCCGCACACAAACCTAAGATCGCCATGTGCAATGCCAAGCGTCGGTTGGAGTGGTGTAAAGCTCGCCACCATTGGACTCTGGAGCAGTGGAAACGCGTTCTCTGGAGTGATGAATCACGCTTCAGCATCTGGCAGTCCGACGGACGAATCTGGGTTTGGCGGATGCCAGGAAAACGCTACCTGCCCGAATGCATAGTGCCAACTGTAAAGATTGGTGGAGGAGGAATAATGGTTTGGGCTAGGCCCCTTAGTTCCAGTGAAGGGTAATCTTAATGCTACAGCATACAATGATATTCTAGATGATTCTGTGCTTCCAACTTTGTGGTAACAGTTTGGGCCCTTTCCTGTTTCAGCATGACAATGGCCCCCGTGCATAAGGCAAGGTCCATACAGAAATGGTTTGTCGAGATCGGTGTGGAAGAACTTGACTGGCCTGCACAAAGCCCTGACCTCAACCCAATCGAACACCTTTTGGATGAATTGGAACGCCGACTGCGAGCCAGGTCTAATCGCCCAACATCAGTGCCCGACCTCACTAATGTTCTTGTGGCTGAATGGAAGCAAGTCCGTGCAGCAATGTTACAGCATCTAGTGGAAAGCCTTCCCAGAAGAGTGGAGGCTGTTATAGTAGCAAACGGGGGACCAACAGTTGAACTGTACATTTTACCTGAACAGAAAAAAAGTTGTATTCAAAATGTGATATGATATGAATATACACTACATGCTCGTCGAACATCTCATTCCAAAATCATGGGCATTAAATGGATTTTCACCAGTCGTATGTGGTAAATACCACCTTCCCACTTGGTTATGAATGCAGGGTAACCCTCCCCTGTCTATGACATAGTTACCCTTTATACCACCTGGGTTGATCATTCAGCCTAATAGTGGAGAGGAGGTTAAAAGGGGATTTCTGATCAATTTCATGTTATTTTAATGGACACATTTCTTTTTGCTTTTCTTTCGAAAACAAGGACATTTCTAAGTGACCCCAAACTTTTGAAAGGTAGTGTATATTACACTAAATTGTGTTTCATCAATAATATAGCCTTTACGCTGCAATGTTTTATTGTGACATTGTCTTTATTTTCTACTTATGGCCACATGAAGATCTTGAATCCATTCATAGTGACATGGCTAAACAAGTGAACCATGATGTGTCATGAAGAGTAAATCAAAGTCAACTGATCCAAAACTATGGCACAATAACACACTGAAGATACACTCAGGAACAGTTTCAAATACATATTTATTTCATCTCCAACTCTGTATCAGTTAGACAGAGATGGCAGACTCAAAAACAGTGTACAAAAACAGACATCTATAGAAAAGTATGCTTATATTGAAATATGTCCAAAGGTTTTATAACAAAACATGTAACTTAAAAATGTTTAAAGTTGAACAATCTTGCAGAGTACAATGACAAAATACCAACATACATATACAAATGTACATCTTCTGTGTGTGCATGTTTTTATGCGTACAAAAGTGTCATTGCAAGTCACTGCGCATGATTGACCATTTAGAGAAATAGGTCCTTTTTCATCTTGTGTTTCAAATCTACTGCTGTGCACAATCAGTTTTGGGAAGGCACTTTGCAACAGACCAACATAACAATACAATAAAACAGCACAGGTAAGTATCTAAGCAATCAATCAATAAAAACATCCTATAAATTGAAGTACCAAAACAGGTGAGATAAATAAACAACCAAAACCAGCAGATGAATTGAATAGCATGTATTGGTGATCACCAGTGTTGCTTATCATATGAGCATATTTCTAAAACAGCATCGTCTCTTACTTATCCAATAAATAACACAAAAAACAGGCCTTTATAAACTGATTTTTACTCCATCCACTGTGTGAAAAGCATCACTATTCAGTGGAGATATAAAAATGGCTTAATATGCCCTAAACAGACTGATTGATCAAAGCTATGGGTGGCAGAACTAAACTGGTAGAGTATACACTACCAGAACAAGGTAACAGCACAGTGAACCAGACCTGGATTCAAATACTATTTGATTTAGCTTACCTGGCACAATAGCAGAGTCCCACAAGTTCAAATCCCACCCATCTGTCACTCCAGCCAGACTCAAGCAAATGCTTTCAAGTACTTTTTGAACCCAGGTCTACAGTGAACAGGGATACTTCTGTCACCATCCAGTGAACAACCTCATCCCATCCCCACCCCAACAAACATTTATGTCCAGAACAGTACACAGCAGATCATGGGCGCTCACAGTGAGGAAAACCTAACCACCACCACCAAAACTTAGCAAGGAAGGAAAAAAAACTTTTATATACAGTGGGGGAAAAAAGTATTTAGTCAGCCACCAATTGTGCAAGTTCTCCCACTTAAAAGATGAGAGAGGCCTGTAATTATCATCATAGGTACACGTCAACTATGACAGACAAATTGAGAAAAGAAAATCCAGAAAATCACATTGTAGGATTTTTAATGAATTTATTTGCAAATTATGGTGGAAAATAAGTATTTGGTCACCTACAAACAAGCAAGATTTCTGGCTCTCACAGACCTGTAACTTCTTCTTTAAGAGGCTCCTCTGTCCTCCACTCGTTACCTGTATTAATGGCACCAGTTTGAACTTGTTATCAGTATAAAAGACACCTGTCCACAACCTCAAACAGTCACACTCCAAACTCCACTATGGCCAAGACTAAAGAGCTGTCAAAGGACACCAGAAACAAAATTGTAGACCTGCACCAGGCTGGGAAGACTCAATCTGCAATAGGTAAGCAGCTTGGTTTGAAGAAATCAACTGTGGGAGCAATTATTAGGAAATGGAAGACATACAAGACCACTGATAATCTCCCTCGATCTGGGGCTCCACGCAAGATCTCACCCCGTGGGGTCAAAATGATCACAAGAACGGTGAGCAAAAATCCCAGAACCACACGGGGGGACCTAGTGAATGACGTGCAGAGAGCTGGGACCAAAGTAACAAAGCCTACCATGAGTAACACACTACGCCGCCAGGGACTCAAATCCTGCAGTGCCAGACGTGTCCCCCTGCTTAAGCCAGTACATGTCCAGGCCCGTCTGAAGTTTGCTAGAGTGCATTTGGATGATCCAGAAGAGGATTGGGAGAATGTCATATGGTCAGATGAAACCAAAATAGAACTTTTTGGTAAAAACTCAACTCGTCGTGTTTGGAGGACAAAGAATGCTGAGTTGCATCCAAAGAACACCATACCTACTGTGAAGCATGGGGGTGGAAACATCATGCTTTGGGGCTGTTTTTCTGCAAAGGGACCAGGACGACTGATCCGTGTAAAGGAAAGAATTAATGGGGCCATGTATCGTGAGATTTTGAGTGAAAACCTCCTTCCAATAGCAAGGGCATTGAAGATGAAACGTGGCTGGGTCTTTCAGCATGACAATGATCCCAAACACTCCGCCCGGGCAACGAAGGAGTGGCTTCGTAAGAAGCATTTCAAGGTCCTGGAGTGGCCTAGCCAGTCTCCAGATCTCAACCACATAGAAAAGCTTTGGAGGGAGTTGAAAGTCCGTGTTGCCCAGCGACAGCCCCAAAACATCACTGCTCTAGAGGAGATCTGCATGGAGGAATGGGCCAAAATACCAGCAACAGTGTGTGAAAACCTTGTGAAGACTTACAGAAAACGTTTGACCTGTGTCATTGCCAACAAAGGGTATATAACAAAGTATTGAGAAACTTTTGTTATTGACCAAATACTTATTTTCCACCATAATTTGCTAATAATTTCATTAAAAATCCTACAATGTGATTTTCTGGATTTTTCTTTCTCATTTTGTCTGTCATAGTTGACGTGTACCTATGATGAAAATTACAGGCCTCTCTCATCTTTATAAGTGGGAGAACTTGCACAATTGGTGGCTGACTAAATACTTTTTTTCCCCACTGTATATGATCCCCATTCAACATTAAATCAAGCATTAGGTTTGATTATATATACACTTTGTTAAGTTACAGCCTTATCTAAAATTGATTAAATATATTTTTTTCCCCTCACACAATACCCCATCATGACCAAGCGAAAACAGGTTTTTAGAAATTTTAGCAAATGTATTAAAAACCAAAAACAGAAATACCTTATTTACATAAGTATTCAGACCCTTTGCTATGAGAGTCGAAATTGAGCTCAGGTGCATCCTGTTTCCATTGATCATACTTGAGATGTTTCTACAACTTGATTGGAGTCCACCTGTGGTAAATTCAATTGATTGGACATGACTTGGAAAGGCACACACCTGTCTATATAAGGTCCCACAGTTGAAAGTGCAAGTCAGAGCAAAAACCAAGCCATGAGGTCAAAGTAATTGTCCGTAGAGCTCCGAGCCTGGATTGTGTCCAGGCACAGATCTGGGGAAGGGTACCAAAAAATGTCTGCAGCATTGAACGTCCCCAAGAACACAGTGGCGTCCATCATTCTTAAATGGAAGAAGTTTGGCACCATCAAGACTCTTCTTAGAGCTGGCCGCCCGGCCAAACTGAGCAATCGGGGGAGAAGGGCCTTGGTCAGGGAGGTGACCAAGAACCGGATGGTCCACCAATCAGGCCTTTATTGAAGAGCGGCCAGATGGAAGCCACTCCTCAGTAAAAGGCACATGACAGCCCACTTGGAGTTTGCCAAAAGGCACTTAAAGACCCTCAGACCATGAAAAAAGATGATCTGGTCTGATGAAGCCAAGATTGAACTTTCTGGCCTGAATGCAAAGCGTCATGTCTGAAGGAAACCTGGCACCATCCCTACGGTGAAGCATGGTGGTGGCAGCACCAAGCTGTGGGATTTTTTTTTCAGCTGCAGTTACTGGGAGAATAGTCAGGATCGAGGGAAAGATGAACGGAGCAAAGTACAGAGAGATCTTTCATGAAAACCTGCTCCGGAGTGCTCAGAATCTCAGACAGGACAACGACCCTAAGCACACAGCCAAGACAACAAAGGAGTGGCTTCGGGACAAGTCTCTGAATGACCTTGAGTGGCCCAGCCAGAGCCCAGATTTGAACCCGATCGAACATCTCTGGAGACCTGAAAATAGCTGTGCAGCGACGCTCCTCATCCAACCTGACAGAGCTTGAGAGGATCTACAGAGAATGGGAGAAACTCCCCAAATATAGGTGTGCCAAGCTTGTAGCGTCATACCCAAGAAGACTCAACGCTGTAATCGATGCCAAAGGTGCTTCAACAAAGTACTGAGTAAAGGGTCTGAATACTTATGTAAATGTGATATTTCCGTTTTTTTATTTTTAATAAATTTGCAAAAAAATCTAAAACCCTGTTTTTGCATTGTCATTATGGGGTATTGTGTGTAGATTGATGAGGGGAATTAAAAAAAAAATCAATTTTAGAATAAGGCTGAAACGTAACAGAATGTGGAAAAAGTCAAGGGGTCTGAATACTTTCTGAATGCACTGTATATGAATGAATGTTATATACACTTGTTACAATCACAATATAACTATAAATAAAAGCAGGAATGCACTGAAAGTGATAAAGCAAAATTATCTGACAAACAATTAAAGACTAAAAGCCTTCTGGTTGATTAGATTCGTAGGACAAAAGCACACATATCAGAGAGCACCAAACACACCCAGATATTTCAGCATAAATACTCTGTCGCTCTCTTGTTGGCCTCCTGTATCTAGCATAACTTATTGACTAAAATCCGCACAACACATCGACATCTCAAACATCAATTCATAAAAAACTTTGTGCACAAAGCGTACAGGGCAATCAATAACTTAATAAAATATATTCTACATTTCTCACGATTTCTAATAGTCAAACCTGAACTTGGTCCCTGTTGAATATCTAGAATTGATTTCACGTGACTAACAAATACATCTGTTCTGTAAAATTCTGTAATAAGAGAACAGAACATTCTCAAATGGAACAGCCATAGGGTTTTATCCTTGCCCTGCAGAAACTGATATAATTGACTGATTCTATTCAGAGTTGGGCCAGAGTTCCATTGTTCCAGAGAACTCCAGAGTTCCATCTGCAGCCTCTCCCCTTCAGGAGCTCTGTCTGAAGTAAGGGGGAAGCTTGGTTTGCCGGTTTCACCGCAGCTGTATACAGCATGTTGATAATAACAAAGCATTTCAAAATGACCCAGTGAACGCATGTACTAACCCATAGGTTACAAACCACACTCTGTATTTCCATTACCTGACATGATAATACCAGAATTGACTAATATATGTTTCTTATATGTGCGTGTGTTTGGTAACGGATCTTAAGGGCATGGTTATGTCATAAACAACAATACAAATACAATCAAAAAGGAAGATAGACACCAGATTTTAAAAAGCTGTCAAGTTGCTTAATGTTAAAATAATGAATGTTTATGTACATTTTATATTCTGCTCTGAAATGGTCTTAATAAAAAATTATGTATACTGATAGTAATAGCGAGCTCCATGACACAGAATGTAATAAAACAAGAGTGAGCGATGATGCCATGAACAGCAGAGTAGTCTAAAGACAACGTCATTCCCCTACATCTGATAGGCTGAACAAACCTAGCTAGGGTAACTTTCCCCCATTTCCCCCACAAATCTAGGTTAACTTCCCCCACACTGACCTATTGGTCACTTCCCCCCTACTGAGCTACGGGTCACTTCCCCCCCAGCTCCATCCCACTATGTCCTGCCTCAGAGTCCACCAGTGACGAGGCAAAGGCAGACTGGACGATCTGGAAGCCAAATGACTCCAGCAGAGACATGTTCTGTTGAGGGGAGAAGGGCGAGCCTAGGGAAGGACCCAGCTCCCCCAGACCTGACCCAGACACTGCCCCTGCACCCATCACCAGACTCTTCTGGACCCCATGATGGTGCACTCTGTTGACGTGCTTGTTGAGGTAGGACTTGGTGCGGAAGGTCTGGGTGCACTCGCTGCAAGGGAATTTCTTCTCTGGAGAGTCCTGGCTGGTCTTGGCTTTAACGTCACCTGGTGGCGACCCTCCCACGGCCCCGGTACCGGCAGAGGCTCCGTTGCAGGCGAACGGCGTCCCAAGCTCCTCTTCCTCAGACTTGTGCGGAGACTTCATTTCGTCCCCAAACGACGGCTCGTCTCCCTCTGATTCTCCTTGATGGGTGCATTTTCCAGCATTCTCCCGCCCGTCTGAGGTAAATACAGAGAGGGTGGGGGAGGGGGAAGAGATGGAGGGGTGGGGTGGGGGACAGGGGGGAGGTGGGGGTTGGGAGGAGAGGGAGAGTTGATAGGGTGGGAGAGATGGTGGGTGGGGGTGGGGAGAGTACAGAGAGGGGTGGGTGTTGGGTTGAGGAGGGGAAGTTTAAGGGGAGAGAACCTCAAATTAGGCCATGCACACACACACAACACAAAATCTGTCTATTTAGACCACTAGGCAGCACTGTTCTCCGGTTGGCCGCCACCACCACCTGCAACATGAACAGAGGACAGTTTACTGCTATGTGTACAAAGCACCTACTCTCATGAAACCCATTTGTTAGGGACAAAAAGATGAGTATAGTACTGTTAAATAGAATTGTACTGCAATTCTTAAAATACATTACATTTACATTTTAGTCATTTAGCAGACGCTCTTATCCAGAGGGACTTACAGTTAGTGAGTGCATACATTTTTCATACTGGCCCCCCGTGGGAATCAAACCCACAACCCTGGCGTTGCAAGCGCCATGCTCTACCAACTGAGCTACAGGAGGCCTATACATGGTGTTCATTTATATTATAGGAACAGAGGGCACATTTGTTCAAATTATGCGGTACGCAGACATTCCGAAGCTTCATTCATTTACCTAATAGATAATACACTTTTCATTGAAAGCAAGTCTTTCTTCCTCGTGAGTTTGGGGCAAAAAACGCAATTCCACACAACCACTTTGTCTTCATTTCTTTACACTTCAAAATGTTCAACCTGGACATAAGTGTTTATTAGTAGCACTCTGTGGCAGATTATTTTAGCTCAGATTGAACATTGTACAACATTGGCCCATAATATCTGATATGAAATAGGCTATTGTATCGGCCGATACAGGTGTCGTGTTTTAATCATGATACCAAAACCACATCAGAACTACTTACGTCTCCACAAACACAAACTTTAAGCGGCTTATTTTCAGGAAACCTTTTCCTCATGCATCCCGTCAACCAAATTTCCTTGACTCTTTATGCCCATGCATCCCCTAGAGGTTGGAATCTTCTCGTCCAACCAACCCTTTACAGTGGAACTCTTGTTACTCGTCTAATCAGCAGGCCTTGTTAGTGCCCTGGCCCAGCCCCAACCCCCACCCTCCTGCTGGCCCAGCCCCAACCCCCACCCTCCTGCTGGCCCAGCCCCAACCCCCACCCTCCTGCTGGCCCATACTGACCTGGCAGAGGCCCGTGGAGGAACCCAGGCGGGCCGGCAGAGTGGCACTCCCAGAAATACGGAGCCCCCCCAGGCCCTGGTTTCCCCAGGAGCAACTCGGGCTGCAGGCCCAGGGAGGGAGGGCCGGGCTGGGGGAGAAAGCAGTGACCATCTGCCTCTGGGAAGGTGACCAGCAGCCGGCGACTGGTGCACAGGTCTACACCACCGACAGACAGAGAGTAGAGAGGGGGCAGCAGAGACAACAGACAAGGCCAGCGGACACCATACATACGTCAGGCTATTACCCAGACCTTACTAAATCTAACTTAGTAGCTTTACTTTGTCCAGTGATTACAATAGACAAAACTGTAAACAGTGAATGAAACTTTTTCCTGTATTACTTGCCAAGCCAGCAAACTTTATTTATTCTAAATAAAAGCAGTTGGCCAATAGATTTAGAATTCTAGCATGCCACCACATTGCAACAATTTTAGATCGGAGATAGGTAATCACTAGGAAGTCAACTTCTAGTCAAAAAACTGAATTGAGTTCAAGGTTTTAACCTAGAATCTAAACCTCTCTCCACTAGGGTTGGGCGATATTCAGATTTTCATACCTTTATACTGTTTCTGTACCATACCGGGGTATAAGTTATTACCGGAAGGGCACACAAGGGGCGCTATTTCATTATTTTTATTTTTAATATTTTTATGTTTTCATGTTTTTTTTAATGCACAAAACAATTTAGGGAACATGGATCTTGATCCAAGAGGGGATTGATTGTCTCTGCTGTAACCAATAAGCTTGATCTTGCCATCTAGCCACTTAGCTAGCAATGAGCGCGAGGCAGGTGGTCGAGGCGGGGTGGCCAAGCCGGGGGCCCCCCCTCCAACTAAAAAATAAATAAAAGTACTGTTGGTATGTCTAAATACCCCGGTAAACGGTATATCGCCCAAACCTACTCTCCACATTGCTTTGACTTCTTCTCACTCTCTACCAGAATGAAGTACTGTATAGCCGAATCCATAGGCTGCTGCTAGTTGCCATGGCAATAATAGTTGAAAAAAGATCCATTGAATCCAGAGGAACACTGCACTGTACTGTATGACTCAATAGACATGCAACATTATAGTGCATGGTTTGGCCAATGGCTACAAGTCGATGGAGATGACAGCAAGCAACAAACAGTGTTTTCAGACAGCGTTCACATTGCCATGCTGAACACCCTGACTGAAGAGCAACAAGGCCATTTGGAACATGGGGAGGCATACATGCACTTCTTTGTTGTAGCTATTTATCAGCTGACTGAATCCCTGACAACCTGCAGTATCGCAAAACTGACCACTGGGGGGCAGTAGCCCATTAGAGAAGACGCCAAAGGCTGCAATTTCAAAAATTGATGTCATATTTTTATTTCAAGAAATAGGCCTATACACATTCTAACCCATTGAGTAAAAGTTATCCTTATTGATAGCTTAATTCACATGATCTCTGCTTAGTAAAAAGTGAAGTTCCCTAATCAACTCCCTCTCACTTTCATTCTCCTCTCTTCACTATATAAACCAAGCAGAAGAGCAGACAACTACACATGCATGCTGATTTAGAAAGAAGTCTGCTGCTATGGGCCTAAAAAGCTCTTTATATACACAATATTAGCCAGGACAACCATATCAGCCTGCTGTACATATGGTGCTTCGTCTGAAGACAGTGTCCCTACTGTTAGCTGATGGAGGCACAGAGGGGATGGATCCTTTAGCGTTAGCATTACTGCGCAGGCATAGGCAGGAATACCTATATGCTTTGTGTGCGTATGTGTATGCTTGTGTTTTTGCAAAAACAGATGCAGCATGTTTTCTCCACAAGCAGCCGAGCAGATGATGATCAACACAAAGCAAGAAGAGACATAGCCTTTGCTTGGAGGCAGGGTGGAGCGGAGCGGGGTGGGCGGCTGCTTGCCTTCCACTGTGCACTGGCGTCCCGTGAGGTAGGGGGCGCCGCCGTGCATCTGCGGCTCCCCGTGCGGTGCAGGGAAGGCACCGTGCGCTGGGGCACTACGGGGGAACAATGGCGAGCCATGGTGCGATTTTACGTGCACCTTAAGGTAGGACGCAGTGGAGAAACCTAGAGACCCAGAGAAGAACACAACAAAGGGCAGTGGCACTACACACCCAGCAGGGAGAGAATGAATGCTCTCGGTTGTTATGTTCCCAAAGATGACTGTGGGACAAAAAACACCTCTTTCCCAAATCCACCTTTCGCTGTGTAATTCTGTTTTATAAGTTCATGCAGACAATGATATATAGGAGCTGGTAACAAAGGATAATAATATGATGTTGTTGAACTGAGCTGAGCTGTTGGAACAACCCTCAAAAGCAAAACTGAAGCACATTAACTTCAAAGGCAATGAAGAATATGAACCAACAAGAGGCAGGCTAACCACAAGCAAGAGTGAACAATGTGCAACCACTGCTCTCCATTATCTAGGCTATTAGGCCTACCACAAGAATGACACCATGTCCATCCAGGTAAATCAAGGCAAAAGAAGCAAGTCAACCCAATACAGTATCTTGACTTGGGGCAAAATTTCACACCAAAAGACAAACTGCATATGGGGCCTGAAATAATCTACAGTAGTACACACAAATCAGGTAAGACACAAGTATTAAACTTTTACATAAAAAATCAAGCCTTTCTAAAAATAAAACATCAGCACTAACCACGTTTCCATCCAAAGTTTTTATGCGAGTAAAGTCATACCGTATATAAAAAAAAGAAGTAATGACAGCTGTGATGGAAACAGGAAGTTTCGGTTCAATTTGATAAAACGCCGACAGATAATTTGTTCGTTTGACATGGTGGGATCTTTTTGTGTCTATAAAATGAATTATGCAAGAAATGGTGGTGGAAACGCCTTTATGCACAAATATTGATATAATAACTATCATATCGAAGTAAACTTGGAGTCACACAATGATATGGTGTGGTCCTCCCACTACGACTTGGGATATAATGCAGTTTATTAGGTTACAGATGAAATAAGCTATGAACTTCACAGGGTGGTGAAAGTGAACGGTGATCTTGATGCTCCTTTCCAATAAATATTGAGGGTCTTATTCTGGTGACATGATGATCGATGGATGACTGCCGTTTGACTAATAAAAATATTATCGCTCTTATCCATCAGTGGCCTTATGGTTTGAGTGTCCGCCCTGAGATTGGAAGGCTGTGAGTTCAATCCCCCGGCCAAATCATACCAAAGACTGTAAAAATGGGACCTGATGCATCACTGCTTGGCACTCAGCATTAAGGATATAGATTTGGGCTAAGGCCCTGCGATAGACTAGCATCCTGTCCAGGGGGTGTACTTGTACATCAAACTGCCTCACGCTACAGAAACAGGAGATAGGATCCTGCCCTATGAGCCGTTCTGGCTTGCACAAGCCGCTACTTACTTATCCATAATAATCTCATCATGCAGCCTACCCGCACTGTCTCGGTGAGCTGTTGGCTACAGTGCATGTGCCAAGAACAGAGTAGGCACATTTTCTATTTAACGCAACAGTTTTTGTGAGAAAACTATCGGTAGAGTTGAAAATGCAATGGTAACACATTGAACTTTAGATTTTTATTCGGTACATGAAAACTTAAGCGTTAAAATGTCATTTTGTGTGTACTACGTCATCACACACTGATTTTTATCTGCAACAAGTCTATTTGGTGGAAACACACTACAGGTGGGAAAATGTGCATATTTTATTTATGCATATTTTAGAATATTCACATGAAAATCTGTCGCCAATTGGATGTAAACCTAGCTACTGTCTTCTAGCAAGTATCTGCTAGGAGCAGCTGACAGCTCTATTTTGGATAATTCATTAACCAGATTTTTTTTTTTTTTTACATTAATGAGACTGCACGCATTAACGTAGAGTCAATTAGAATGGCAGCAGGAGAATGTTCGGAGGACAACAACAAAAATAAGAAGAAATGGGTGAAAACTGTGGACAACCCATGCAGACACTATAACTATGAACTGCAGATAGCCCATGATTGCAGTTCACAAGCTCTTCTGTAGAAAGCAACCCAAATGCTTTGCACCCTGAGGTAGTTTATGGTTACTACAGTACTAGAATTGAATAGTAAACATTTTGGTAGATCATCCTTGTTGCAAGATGGCAATACCATGCTGGAAGAGGCAGGTTAACAAGAAGAACACAAAACTAAGAAACAAGAAGAAGATAGCACATTCATAGATTGGAAGCTCCCACCCTGATTCTACTGGCAGGTATGTGGCGATGATGCTGCACCCTAGGCCTGAGGTTACCTTTGTTGCATATACCACAGTAGTTGTGAGGTCCTTCACTGTGTTTCTTGAGGTGGTCGGTCATGTACGCAGCTCGGAGGTACTTCCCACACATTTGGCAGGGGATCTTGTCCTCATGACAAGCCAGGTGGGACCGCAGGCGATCTCTTGTAGCAAAGGAGGCATTACAAATCTGAAGAACAGGAGGAAAATACAGGTAAAATAATATGCCCCCATACATGTTATGTACAGAAACACTATTCATTTATCAACAACCTTTCAACCATATTCTAAATCAACAAGAATGACAACTAAATCATTAAAACAAGCAAATACCACACTGACAGATTTGAAGTGTGCTGTTCATTCTTTGTGACAAATATTGCATCCGCATCCACTCTTCTAAGAGGATCCAGTTGTTGCCGTTGTCTCACCTGGCACTTATGGGGTCTCTCTGTTGTGTGAACCTGCTTGATGTGTCCATTCAGATGGTCTGGCCTGAATAAATCAAACATAGGCACGTTGAGACAGATGCAGACAGCAGACTACTGATTCTGAATAAGACCACCATATGTCTTCATTTTCCCTCCAGATCACAGAACGCTTCAGAATAGAATAGAATAGAATAGGGAATGCACCGGAAGTAGTGGTGTCAGTATAGGCCTACCACAATAAATGCCCATAGCTCACCTGGAAAAACCCCTTTCCACAGCTTTGACAGACGTAAGGTTTGCCCACAGATCCATCATGTGACCGCACATGGTATGACATCCTGTCCTTGCGCTTGAACCGCAGGCCACAGACATGGCAAGCATATGGCTTTTCCCCGGAATGAGACAACTTGTGTCGGTTCAGGTGGTAGACATCCCGGAAAACCTTCCCACAAATGTCACAGCCAACGTGACGTCTCGTCCTCTCGCGCTTACGGCTGTTATCTAGGCCTACTACTCCATGCAAGGGCATGCCATTCTCCAACAGACCGGGCTGACCAGAGTGCGATATCGAGGTAGGGCCTCCCTCGCCAGACAAGCAGTTGCTGCTACTCGCGCCATGGCTGGACGCTCCATGCTGCGCTTCGTGGTTTCTCAACCGCACAGCCTCTGTAAATGCTTTGCCACATATTCCACAAGGAAATAGCTGCTCAATGTCTTCTTTAACGTCAGAGGTGCTGATGTTGTAATTAATAGGCTCCATGGCTGTGCCTTTCTTTGGTCGCCCCCTGCCTCTCTTGGAACCCGAAGAGCCCTCTTCTTGGAACGGGTTGCCTGTCATCTCTGATGGAGACACGGGCTGCAGGACTGGCATAGCGGACTGGGGGCTGCCATCCGACATGACTGTGTCATTGGCCTGATTTCCGTCCACATTATGCGTTTGCCCATTGTTGGTAAATAGATTGTTGCCATTAGCCAACAAGTCTTTCCCATTTGACATGTTGTCTACAGCCAATGTGAAACTAAATTCTGAGCCCCCCGTGGCACGGAACAAACTGACGTCGCCTCTTCGAGAGGGTGGAACAAGAATTTGTACATTGGACTGTTTGATTACTTCTTGGCATATCTCGATGACAGAACGCATTAGCAGAAACTTAGCAGCTGTCATCAACTCGGGGAAACATTCCAATCGTACCACAATCCTAGAGGTGTAGGCAAAGTCCAAAATGTCTTTAAAAACTTTGGGGCTTATCGTATGCATCTCAAGCTCTTTTGCCTCCCCGTCGCCCTCCGTTTGACAACCAAAAACGGACTCGAAATACTCACTGCACGCCGCCAGTACCGCCTTGTGGGCAGGGAAGCTGTCTTCACCGACGCGCAAGATCACATCGCAAAACCTGCCTCCATCTTTCCTCTGAATGTTGAGGTTGTGTAGCATCTCCGCGCTATGCTTGCTCACCTGATAGGTGTATGAAGAATTCCACGACTGCTCCGCTATTCTCTCCATGCCGAAATCATTCAACATCAATTTTTGTTAGCGAATAGGGGTGGCGAAACCAAAAAAAAACGTATAAAGCTCAATAGTCGGGGGAAATTAAATAAAACCACGACAACCACCCCTCCCTCTCTAGCATCTAAAATTTAAGTAGCAGGGAAAAATGGTAGCCCCCCAGCTTCCTGTGAACTTTAACCTTTTTCGTTGCAAAGCGGGATCGTTCTCAATTTTCATTTCGCTTTGACATAAAGTGGGTCTCCGTTGTGTCGAGTAATGCATGTAAAATGTATTCGTCAAATAGACACTAGCTATTTAGGCTACATGAGGTTGAAGTTGTCAAATACATAATAATAATACTATTTCTCTTCCTGGTTTCTCCCACACAAGCCCCCTCCCCCAGCCACAGACGAGGTTGAGATGGTGTGAGTACCTCTGCCCAGGCGTTGTTGACACATGACCGATCGTTCAATTCTTACGGAACCCCTTAAGATTTTAGGACACCAAAATACATTTTTAAAAAGGCTGCTGTTCAAAGTTCAGATGCCTTTGGAGAATTGCACAATTTAAAAAAAAGCTTCCATCCGCATATGCAAATAATAGCCCTGTCATGTTCTGAGTAAGGGAAAGAAAATGAGAACCGAAACCCAATTTGATAAAATGTAAAAATCCATGTTGTCAGCCCAAAAGCAAAAATGTAAACAAACCATGAAGGACATTCATTAAGACTGAGGAAAATACTAGTCTGTACCTGTCTGCTTTAACAAATCAGGCAACCCCACGAATGAAATACCGAGCAACTCATTATTCCAAATACGCAGCACAATATCTTGCATTTTCAAATGGCATATGTTTTAAGTCTTCAATCTTAGATCAACAATTCTTACAAATAAAAAAACAAAGCAAGTTGTGAACTTTATTGAACATTATTTATTAATTCTATTTGTGCTTTTAACTTAATAGCACATCACCATAAACTGAATCTTTACCAACCCCACAAAAAAAATATGATAACATGATTCAGAGCAGTGCTTCTTTTCCAGTGACTGGAGGAGGGGAGGGGCGGGGTGTGAGGGGGCTGCAGTAAAAAAAAAAAAAACTTTAAAAAAAAGCTGTGGGCTCTCTTGAAACAACTTTCCTTACATCCTCTCTCCCTTTTCAAAACACATTGGAGAAGAAGTTCCGAGGGGAGGGACCTTAGACCAATACCGTTGAAAAGGAGCCGAGAGACTGGATAGGATGCAAGGAATCACAAAGAAAAATTGAGAGTCACAGAGCACGAAAGGCACAACCAGCACTTGCTGCTCCCCCTGGGGGCTTCCTGTAACACACCAGCCACCTCTCCAGACGGAGGGCAGGCAGGGACACCGACTGACCCAGCCATAGGGAGGACATATTTTGAAGGGAACACTCAGGACAACTCCACAATCAAACATGGATATTGAACTTGCATTAGCCCCTTTCTCAGTGCAGTTCAAATCCATGGGGAAGCGGGGGGAATAAAACTACCAGGACATGACGTGACTACCCTTGCTTCGCTTGGCGGCTACTCCATCTGACTGCGGCAGTAATCACTTGACAGCAGGATACAACCTTCCCCTTACCAAAAAAAAAAATATGTACAGGGAGAAGAGTAAGATCCATTCCCACAGTCTATACAGTTTTGGGCTTATACGTTACTTAATCTTTATTGCAAAAAACAGATCATACAAAAATACCCAAAAACAAATAAGCTGCAGAAAAGAAAAGTCTTCCACAACTTATCCTTCCCTTTCTTTTAGTTTAGGCCAATACGCTACCAGTGACTTCAAGGCTTAAGACAAAACATGGACACGTACTGTTCGTTCTCCAGGATCTGTGAGTCTTAGAAATTAAAGATCACATTTTCACTAATGGGGAGGTGAAGGGAGGGGAAAAAATTAAGTCTTGCTTTATCCATCATTCTGGTTGTATGAAACTTCTCAGGGCCCAAACTCCAGTTCATCTACACTTATGACTTTAGCAGGCATGGAAGGAAGGGGCTGCTGCAGCACGTCTGAGCCAAACCACTTGGCGAGGCCAGCTCCCTCCACACCAGGAGGGCTACCCCCACGTCGCTGGGAGTGGTTAGTCCGATGAGGGGCGTGGTTCTGTGACTGGTGGCCTGGGACTGTTGGATGCACTGACAGAAGGAGAGAGAATGAAATTTTGTCAGTGAAGGCCATGAGGAACATTGGCAAACCCATGTCATTAAGATGGATACATTAACTGGCTTACCTGGTTAAATAAAGGTTAAATAAAAAAATAAAAAAAGTACCCAGACTGAGGTGCCCTCATCTCCCTGCATCTTTTAGACTGTGCATGAACATTAGTACAACATATGCAAGATAGGTTAAAGTTACGTTTGTTGAACTTGTTGAATAATAACAATGACAGACTGACCAGAAAATGTCACTCACTTGGTCTCTGTTGTTGCTGCTGGAGTTGCTGCTGCATGAGTGCTAGCTGCATGTGATTGCTGGCTCTGGGAAGAAAGAGAGGGTGTCCTGTCGCTCCTAGGGGGTAGAGGGGTTGTCCGAGTACGGCAGGGGGCAACCCCTGAAGCTGTGAGAGGTCAACATGCTGTGGAAATATGCCTAGGATGGAGAGATTTCAATGAGAGCCTCAGCAATCAGTCATTTCCATCCACCTCAGAGTACAATAAGTATTAGGTTGAAAAGTGTATAATTGATGGAGCACTGTGGATACCAATATCCCCATGAGCCTCCCAGGCCCATGTTGCCCAGGGTTAAGAACAAATTGTAGATTAATAATATGAAATTGTATTACACCCTCAATTTATTTCATATATCCCTTCACTAATTATTTTGTTTAAGCTGTTAATATTCATAAAAAATGTAATGTAAGTCAAATACATTTTGAGATCTGGCTACGGAACCCCGGTAGGACCCCACTTTGAGAACCCCTGGCTTAGCATAGGCAATTAGCTTGTTTACGTAAACGAGGCACAGAATCACTAATTGATCACAAAATGACTAGTTATTTGGAAAGAACTATGATTTGTAGATCAGTTTCAAACACATACAATGTAATCAAGAGTGGACCAGTACTAACCTGCCTGCATCAGTGCAGGGCCAAGCTGCTGTGGCAGCATCCTCTGCAGCACGCTGGGGTGGAGCTGGGGCGGAGGGGGGCGCACCATGGGCACATGGCCATGGGATAGCAGCGGTACCGGGTAGATTGGGCGGGGGAAGGGAGAGGCAGACCTGGGGGACACCAGGGTGGGGGTGTGGTGCCCGGCGGAGCCTGGCCTAGGACGCTCCTGGTGGTCATTGGCGTGCTGGCGAGCCTGGGAGTGGGAGGACAGGGGGGTGGAGCAGGCCTTCACCCCTCCAGACTGAGAACCACTACCATCCATCCCATCCAGGAAGGAGCTGGGAGAGCTACTGTCTAACGACACAAGAGCACAAACACTACATTAGACAAGACAGGACCAGGAACAACATTAGACAAGTTAAACGCAGAGATGAGGGCATTCATCCACCTGACCAGAGAACTAGTTCATTACCATGTGTTTTTATTTTTTATTGTGCCTGTGTAAAAAAAATACAAGCCCCAGATCGCCTTCAGTCGATTTCCCAAACAATGTCATTACTGACGTGCACATTTTGAGGCAAAAGAAACGCACACCTATTTAGGCGAGGTGCTGACTAACGGAGTAGAACACTTGAAAAGAAAAGGAGAGCCGCACACTGTAGGAGCTCAGATGCAATAATTTAATAACCAACGTTTCGACAGACAAGCAGTCTTCAGGGTATAATGACAAACACTGCGGGTCACTAGTTTATATAGTGTCAAAGGACACACACGTGTCTGTAATCATGGCCGGGTGTGGCCTGATATCATTGGTTAATTCACATATAAACAGAACATACAAAAAACATGAATGGATCGCATACGATCATAAATACAATTTGGCTACATAGGCCTACAAACATTTACAATGAATAGCAAAATCACAATAATCACAAGAATGGCTTCAGATCAAAGTCTATGTTGAGACCGAAAGGGAGCAAGGGTCTTTAAATTAAAGATCCAGGCAGCCTCTCGTTTCAACAATAAGTTGTCGAGGTCACCCCCTCTCTGAGGGAGGGTGACATGTTCGATGCCGATATAAAAAAGGGACAAAATCGAGTGGGTCGCTTCCAAAAAGTGGGCCGCGACTGGGTGTCAAGTTTTTGCACCTAAATGGTGCTACAATGCTCCGAGATTCATACTTTTAATTTGAGCTTTGTTTTACCCACATAATCTTTACCACAAGGACAAGTTATAAGATAAATAACTGCCTTAGTGGAGCACGTGATAACACCTTGGATTGGGATCTGTTTCCCTGTTTGAAGGATCTACATCTGTAAGTGCAATTGCATTGAGCACAGCCATTACACTTGTAGTTTCCATCCGGTAGAGGCGCAACTAGACGTTGTGCAGGGGTATTTTGGAGTGGTAAATCAGAGTTTACCACTTGATCTGAGATTTCTGCCTCGCGAGAATATGACCATGGGAGGGTCCGAAAACACATTACCGATACGGTCATCAGATCTTAGAATGTGCCAATGTTTGTGAACGATTCCCTTAATTTGTTCAGAGCACTTTGAATAGAGTGTAGTTAGAACACAAGAATGCTTCTTTCTGCAAGACTATCCTTGAAGGAGAATGTCTCGATTTGTTTAGAATTTTCTCAATGGCAGTTTTAATCTGACCATTTTATTACCCCCCCTTGAATTTTCTTTGTGTCTCAGCCATATATTTCTGTCGAAATCAGATAGTTTTTTGCAAATTCTTTTGAAATCGACAGAATTGGCTGTAGGGCAAACTGTTTTTCAAGGGAAGCGGGTGACAACTATCAGCCCTCAAACTGTTACGATCAGTAGGTTTCCTGTAAAGATCAGTGTATAGAACATTATCCTCACACAAAATCAGAAGATCAAGGAAACTGATTTGACATGTGTCAGATTGCATAGTAAGTCTCAGGTGCTCAGAACAAGAGTTAAGAA